TATTGCATCAGTTACCTGATGTGGAATAGAGTTCCATGGTAGTCATGGCTACATATTGGGATGTAAACCATTTGTGGACAACATTTAGATAATAAGCTCTTTGTGAGTACGAACAGTTCTGGACCCTTTTATTTCAGCTCATGGAACATAACCAACACTTTACATGTTGCATTCACATTTTTGTTCAGTGTATTTTAGCGGGTTAGGGTCAGACGCAGGCCTCTTATCTTCACTTTATCACATATAGTCGGGTGGTTACGGAAGTGTGTGGGTGAACAACAGCTGGCCGTAACCATTAGTGTGTTGTGTCATGGGTGGCAGTAACCTAACGGTTAGTGCTTTTTGGGTCATAACCAAAAGGTCGCTAGTTTTGAATCCCTGAGCTGACAAGGTGCAAAAAATAAATGTCAATTCATACCACACACTTGTACATTATGTTATCACCCACGGTAACACCTGATACATGTATGTTATCACCCACGGGTACACACTGATACATGTATGTTATCACCCACAGTAACACACTGATACATGTATGTTATCACCCACAGGTAACACACTGATACATGTAGTTATCACCCACAGGTAAACACTGATACATGTATGAAAGACACAAATATAAGCACCCCCTATGTCTGACCTAGCGTCCCATCCGTCTCACCCTCAGTGTGTCTTTGCTGTCTTGGTAGAAGCAGAGTGTCTGTTTGTAAAGCACTGCATGATGGGAGCTCCATGCTCGAGACCTGGCCTAGAACAGACAGACAGACACATTACTATCTGAGATCTGACCTAGAACACACTGTTAGACCTGTAATGTATTAAAACCCTCCAGACAGACACACTAGTGTTAGACCTGGTAATGTATTAAAACCCTCCAACAGACACACTAGTGTTAGAACTGTAATGTATTAAAACCCTCCAGACAGACACACAATGTTAGACCTGGTAATGTATTAAAACCCTCCAGACAGACACACTAGTGTTAGACCAGGTAATGTATTAAACCTCCAGCAGACACACTAGTGTTAGACCTGGTAATTTATTAAAACCCTCCAGACCAGACACACTACTGTTAGACCTGGTAATGTATTAAAACCCTCCAGACAGACACCTAGTGTTAGACCTGGTAATGTATTAAAAACCCTCCAGACAGACACCTAGTGTTAGACCTGGTAATGTATTAAACCCGCCAGACAGACACACTAGTGTTAGACCTGGTAATGTATTAAAACCCTCCAACAGACACACTATGTTAGACCTGGTAATGTATTAAAACCCTCCAGACAGACACACTAGTGTTAGACCTGGTAAATTTATTAAAACCCTCCAGACAGAACCACTAGTGTTAGACCAGTAATGTATTAAACCCTCCAGACAACACACTAGTGTTAGACCTGGTAATTTATTAAAACCCTCCAGACAGAACCACTAGTGTTAGACCAGGTATGTATTAAAACCCTCCAGACACGACACCTAGTGTTAGACCAGGTAATGTATTAAAACCCTCCAGACAGACACACTAGTGTTAGACCTGGTAATGTATTAAACCCTCCAGACAGAACCACTAGTGTTAGACCTGGTAATGTATTAAACCCTCCAGACGACACACTAGTGTTAAAACCAGGTAATGAAACCATCCTGAGCTCTTTTTGGATCCACTGGTCACTGGTTGATAATCTGGCGGGAAAGGGACCAGCCAGAGCTTAAAGATGATGAAACGATTTAGTGTAGAGGGGTAATGTAGTATAGAGGTGTAATTGTTGTTGTGTATGTGTTAGAGTGTAAACTTGTACTATAGAGTGTCATGTATCTATGTGTGAATGTTTAGTATAAGTGTAAATGTTGTAAGATAAGCTAAATGTTGTACATGATTGTAAAGTTTAAATAGAGTGAAATTTTTGTAGTATAGAGTTAATGTATATTATTGTAAATGTAGTATCAGTGTGAATGTTGTGTATATAGTGTAAATGTTGTATAGTGTGTAAATGTTGTATAATGCAATAGAACTATAGTACTGCTTCCTTCTCACCTTCTCCCTCCCAGCTGCACTTGTGCTTCCGCCCAGGGTTCCCTCCATCCTCTGCAGCTCAGACCACTACCTCCATTCTGAATATGTTTGAAAAAATACATGATAAGACCCAAGAGAGCCACATCCCAATATCAGCCAGAACAAAATGCACCTTAAATACACTTACTAATATAATCCTAGAAATAGGGCAACAAAATTCACTAAGATGACTAATCTAGCTGACTAACTATGACTAACCCAGAATAGCTAGCACTGACTAACCAGAACTACTGCTGACTAACCGCAGATACTACGATAGCTACTAACCTAACTTTAACTAGCTGATTTTAACCAGAATGTACTAACTACCGACTAACCAACTAAGTCTGACTAAACCAAAGACTAACAGCTGACTATCAGACTGAATACTACTAAACAACATGACCTGACTAGTAAACCCAGAAACACCTAGCTTACTAACCAACATCCTACTAGTCACTGACACGTGATACTAGCTAGACCAGCCAGACTTAACGATGTAACACAGTGACTAACTGCTGAATAACGTACTAATAGGGCTAACTAGCTGACTAACCAATGATTTAACTACGACTACTACCGATGAGAACTAGCTGACTAACCGATGACTAATATGACTAACGCAATGATTTAACTAGCTGACTAACCAATGAGATACCTGACACCAGAAAGCTACTACTGACTAACCAGATGACTAACTGCTTGACTAACTAGCTACTAACCATATGACTAACTAGCTGATTTTAACCGTACCTAACTAGCTGACTCCAATGACTAACTAGCTGACTAACCAGAACTAACTAGCTGCTAACCATATGACTAACTCTGACTAACCAAATGACTAACTAGCTGACAACTAGCTGACTAACCAGAAGACTAACTAGCTGACTCACTATCAACTAACCAGATGACACTAGCTGACTAACCTAGGACTGACCTGATGACTAACGTGACGAACTACTGCTAACAATGACTACTAGATAACTAACTAGCTGACTAACCAGATAACTAACTAGCTGACTAACCAGATATAACTATAGCTGACTACCAGATTGACTAACTAGCGACTACCATGAAATAGACTAACCAGATTGACTAACTAGCTGACAAACCAATGACTAACTACTGACAGAACTAACTAGCGACTAACCATGACTAACTAGCTGACTAACTAGCAACTAACTAGCTGACTAACCAGATGACTAACTGCTGACAAACCCAGCAACTAACCAATGACTAACACCTGACAAACCAGATGACTAACAGCTGACTAACCAATGACTAACCCAAATATACTAACAACCTGACTAACCTACTGCAGATGACTAACTAGCTGACTAACTAGCTGACTAACTACTGACTAACCAGAATGACTAACTAGCTGACTAACCAGATGACTAACTAGCTGACTAACCATATTACTAACTACTGACAAACCAGATGACTACACTGACTGACTACCAATGACTAACTAGCTGACTAACCAGAATACTAAACTAGAAGGCTGACTACCGATGACTAACTAGATTCCCAAACCCCTACCTGACTAACCAGATGACTAACTGCTGACAACTAGACACGACTAACCAGAAACTACTAGCTGACTAACTAGCTAGCTACCAGTTTAAACTAACTAGCTGACTAACTAGCTGACTAACCAAATGCTAACTAGCTGACTAACAAAGTAACTAGCTACTAACCAGATGACTAACCAGATGACTAACTAGCTGACTACTAGCAGACTAACCAGATGACTAACTACTAAACTAACTAACTGCTGCCTAACCAGATGACTAACTAGCTGACTAACTAGCAACTAACCAGATGACTAACTAGCTGACTACTGCTGACAACCAGATGACTAACTAGCTGACTACACATGACTAACCAGATACTAACTAGCTGACCTAACTAGCAGACTACATGAACTATGGACTAACCAATTACTACTACCCGACTAACCAGAGACTAATACTGAACCATATAACTAACATGACTAACTAGACTAACGATCAACTAGCTGACTAAAGAGACTAATAGCTACTACCTGACTACCAGATACAACTCTGACTAACCAGATGACAACGATACTAACTACACTAACCAGATGACTAATAGCTACAAAAGGTGACACAATTACTAACTAGCTGACTAACTAGCAGACTAACCAGATGACTAACTGACTAACCAGATGATAACTAGCTTACTAACCCAAATGACTAACTAGCTGACTAACTGGACAACAGACACTACCTAGACTAAGCATAACTATCCTAACCAGATTACTAACTAGCTGACAACAGGACACTAGCTGACTAACCAGATGACTAACTAGCTGATAACCAATGACTAACTAGCTGACTAACTACAGACTAACAGATGACTAACTACCTGACTAACCAGATGACTACTAGCTGACTAACCAGATTACTAACTACCAAAAGAGACTACTAGCAGACTACCAAGAACTAACTAGCTGACTAACTAGACTAACTAGTGCTACTAATGAAACTACTGTAACTAGCAACTAAACAGATGACTACGCGACAACCGAGAACTACTATACTCAATTACTACTAGCACAAACAGTGACTAACTAGCAGACTACCATGACTAACTAGCTGACTACAGACTACTACTGACAAACCAAATAAAAAATCTCTACGCAACTACTTACTACTGACTACATGACACCAGATACTAAC